TGGTAAGTGATTACCGTCGCCCATGAACACTTGCAACACCAGGAGTATCACAAATGCGATGCCGGCCTTTAAGGAAGGAGTACGCTCTTTTTTTGAAGGTTTTTGGGTCGTATTGGTCCGGAAACAATGCTGGCGACAATATATTCCACAGTGTTGTCGTACGTGGTAAAAAATTTCGACAAAAACGAACGGTTGTGGATAGCCACGCATCAAGATGATGGGGATGAATTTTTTGAAATTTAAACGCAAAGAGTGAGCATAAAAGATCCGCTTTCTCTTTTGCAGCATGGGCCATCGATTCGTCGCCATTGTGCAGGGGTGGAAGGGATGGCTTACAGAAATTTCCTTCAACAGCCTTGGCAAGAGACCAAAACACGCGGGTTTCAGAGGGAAGTATTATTAAAATCTCGCCAATGCTGCTAATGTGCTCTGACTTCGCTCTGGCAATTACTCTTTTGCAGGAGCTGGAGGCCAAGTTATACTTCTTTTTGAGATCGCTAGTGTTGTTATCCCCGACCGCCGCTGCATTTGCCCAGGTCTGATAACACATCTGTTTTTGGCGAGATGCCAGTTTACATTAATGACCAAACCAAGGCTGGGATTTGCCACCAATGGGAACCACAGAGGAAGGAACAAAAAGTTCCATACCCTGAAGGACGACATCGGCGACAGAATCGGCAGCGACGTTAGGATCATTCTGCGAGAAGCAAACCTGGCCCCAAGGGTAGGATGAAAAGAAAGTGCGCATCCCATCCCAGTCTGCTGACTTATAGTGCCACACACGACGACAGCCAGCAAATTGCGGCCGCGATGAGTAAGTGAGTGGCACCATACTCCGGATTAGACAATGGTTCGAGGAGCCAAGAGGGGCATCTATGGACACTTTGTAATTATCCGGATGTGAAGTCAGCAGAAGGTCCAACAATGAAGGTGTATGGTCTTCGACATCTGGGATTCGCGTAGGCGAGGTGACCAGTTTTGTCAGACTATAGGCCAAGGCGAAGTCGTGAGCAGATCTGCCTGCATGATCGGTAGTGGGCGATCCAAGCCATTCGGAGTGGTGGGCATTGAAATCACCAAGGATCACAATTTCGGATGATGGGATCTGCTGAAGCACGGAGTCTGTAGCCACCTGGACGTGATCATAGAGTCGGTCAATTTCGGCATTTCCGCTATGGGACCTGTAGAGGCAGGCGTAGACGCGGGGATGGTCATCGACGTCTACACGCAACCATAAGATGGAGATGTCCCTACCTTCAAAGTTGCTGAGGCGACGGAAACTGATACCCTCTTTAACGTACACACATACCCCAGCCCGTGGTGCAAAGGAATGTTCCAAAGTATACCCAGGGTACTGGAGGTAGGAGGTGTCGGCTGGAGAGGATATCTGCGTCTCAGTCAAAAAAAGCAAGGCCGGCTGCACTATCTGAAGGTGGTAGTGAACAGCATTAAGGTTGGAGTGTAAGTCCCTGATGTTGCAGTAATCCACGTTAAACGTGGCAGGGGGTGTCGTATGACGCTTGCTCTGGCCTCGAGCACTTTTAGTATTGAGCGCGGTTTCGCCCTCCCCAGAATACGAAGGGCAGCCTCGACGTCCACGTCCAGAAGGAAACAGTTCTGGGCATGGACGTCCAGAGGGGAATTCTCCAGCGTGAAAGCAGCTGGTATCCTATTTAACTGCGCCATCATGAGGAAAAAAAGGGGGGGGGGGGGGTTGGGCCTCCGGTAGCCTCACTCACTCGGCGAAACACAGCACAAAGTACTGCTTCACGCCAGTATTCTGTGAGGTCGTGGTATTCCTCCGGTCGAGCCGGCCCATTCATGCAGTAGCCTAAGCTACTGTGTGGCTCTCCCACGATCGTGGCCATGGCCTTCGGCTCTATCTACCCCGTAAATCCCTTACTGACGCGATACTATGTATGTACGTAGAATAGAAATAAATTAGCGGTATTTCTGCTGGTTTTTATTTGTGATGATGATGCTGACAAGTTTCCCTTATTTTGGTTCTTTCTTTTTCTATATATTTATTTATAATCTGTGTATGAGTGACGTGTGCTTTATACGGTTTTTTGAACGCCACTTTTATCATAATCAACATGGACTTTTCTTAAAATACCAGTGATGTCATGTATGGTCAAGGTGGTGAACACTACCAACTATACAGCAAGCATGTTCTGTCGCATGAAAAAACTGCATACAACGCAACGCAAGCACCATACCTAACATTTCGTTGTACTTTTGGGAAAGGTGTACTAACACACTATTGGTGTCGATTCTGGCATGATTATCTAAACTTAAAACTAAATTTAACATCAGTCTCTCCTTTTCATTCTGTATAGAGAATGACAAGGATACACTGTTGTCAAATTTAATTTTAGGTTTAGAGAATCATGCCAGAATCCACACCATTATAAGGTAAGTAATTTATTGCATGTATTTTTATAAGTTAAGATATGACATTTTGCTTATTCACGCGTAAGTCGTTTTTATGACACTAGCTGTTGTTTGTTGTTCGAAACGTCAAAACGTGTAGCCTGATTCATGAACTAAAATAAAACCAGCAGTTTAATTTATCAACAAAAAGACGTCTTCAGAAGTCTACAAAACAAAATCCCAGTCCTCAATTAAACCAACATATTAACACAAGTGCGCACAGTACGAAGCCAAAATAACGTGTAAGATAGATAGATCCCCAACGCGTACGCCACTGCTACTACCTGTCCCCCCCTCCCCCTACCCGCGCACGTAGTTTTGAATTACTTGTCGCTAAGAGCGGATGAACACACAGACAGGTTTTTTTATTTATTATTTTTATTTAATTAGATAGCATGGAGTATAATTATATAACGTTTTTATTGAATTATGAAAATAAAAAAAGTTACATTAGCTCTAACTAGTTGTAATAGTACTTACCATTTGATAAATACATGTATCTCCACATTACCTCGATGCTACATACGCTAAATATGAAAAAACCCGAATATTTTCCCATTTGGGAATTTTCCTTGGGTTTTTCCCTATTTTTTCCCACATTGGGGTTTTTTCCGGGTAAAATCTCATCTCTACAGGGAAGCGATTGAAAAAACAAAACATAAAAAATTCAATCGTGAGGACGGGTTTAAATTGTCGAGTGTCTGGAATCCTGTGGTTCGTATGTGTAAAACCGGAACTAATCAAAAAAGTGTCGTGTCGCGATTCGATATTGTAAGTGTTGTGGTGTGTCGAGAACAGTTTCGAGTGAATAGTGAGATTATGAACAGTGGTACGGGTATCGAACGCAATAAAAGACTTCGTCGGAGGGTAGACCGATATCTCTGCCAATAACAGCTTACCCCATAGAACAATATACTCTCTACGAGTCTACCCGCAATTAATTCAGTTACTCCGTGATCATGGCGCTTGCAACAGTGCCGAAATATCAGAAACTTGTTAAAAACAAGGTACATGGTAACAGTCCCGTAAATAACTTATATTACTATAATGTTAGTGACCATGAACTTTAAATATATTATTATGGTATACTGCGGTTTTTTAAAGGTATAGTCCTTTAAAAAATCACAGAATATTAGCAGACTTGCTACATTTTATTTTTAATGTTTGCTTGAAATAAGCAACGTTCCCAGTGAGGTGGCAAATAACCCGTGCTATACAGACTATAACTATACTAATATAGATACAAATAGATAGAACCTATACTAATATAGATACATAATGATACAGGGAATTCTATACATAAATAGGAGGTTGTCCTTAATCCTTAATATACTATAAAGAGAATGAAAAGGCGATATTGCTGTCAAGTTTACAAATAGCAAACATAAATAGCCATAGCCATGTGAAATGCTGGCATTACGACGTTACGTTTAAGTTTCATTTTTATGTCATAATTCTAACCTCAAAAATTTGAACTCGGAGTGTAGATAGGAACACGATGGAATGTAGTTCATCATTTGTTTATAGGAGATTAAGCCTTATTTATTTAAATTTAAGATTTAAAATCTATTGAGAAAGATTGACAGCTTGTGGATTATTTGCTGAGATTATTTGTAGTAGTGATGTTACGATCTTGAATCTTGACAAACCGGATTTGATCGGTTAGTAATACATGCAAATCGGTTTCCGAACCGAACCGCCAAATTTTTAGTAAACCGCGGTTTGAACCGGTTTGAACCGGTTTGAACCGTTTGACGAGTTGACGAATGAAACTTACGAAACAACAGGTGCTATTTTTTTTTAATTCTACAATATTTTGTTGATATTACATCGTGCAAATATTTAAAGGTAATTGAAAAATAACAAATAAAATATGAAAACAAATAATAATAATCAGAATTAAAAATGTCAAAATAAAAATAAACAAATATCTATGTAATACCGTGTTTAAAAAAATACAAAAAAAATATATAAACTCTATTAATTACATAAAACCGTACTTCTTAACTTTGAGAATAAAATACAATTTTAATAATCAATAATATAATAAATACGTAACTTATTTTTGTAAAATCATTTGAGTCGTAGAAACTTAATTTGGTACAAACAACTTAATTAAAAGTTTTCTTACAACTATTTAGGAATAATATTTGGTCTATTTTTTTAGAAGCTGGGCAATTACGTCGCATATTACATAATAATGAAAACAAAATTACACCGTCAAGTCAGTCAAATCTACCAGAGTCCGTTTCATTTCGGTGCGGTCGGTAAGTCGGTTATGGCTGTTGTATTTAAATTGACGATGCACGCTAACCGTATCCGCTGCTGTAAGTCGGTTCGTATTGGTCGGTCAAGTTTTATTAGGGTCGGTAAAGCACGTCAGGAGCCGCACGCGATTTGTGGATGGCGGTATAAACAAGAATTGACAGGCGCGTATGCGCGCAGCTCGATACGAACGAATGCCACGGTAGAACCGGTTTACGAAGACGTTAACCGATTCAACTCGGTCCATGCTCAAACCGGTTTGAACCGGTTTGAAAAGTCGAGTCGTTACATCTCTAATTTGTAGCAATTGCAACAGATAGTAAATCAGACGATTTTCTTTTTAATCAGTTTTTCTCGTATTTCTCTTTTGCTGCATTACATGCATGTATTGTGTGATGTAATATTAATAACGTCCATTCGTTAGGTGTTAATACATCAAAAAAGATTAATGTGTTTGATTTTTAAAAGAAATGTCGGCTGTTGGCATTAGCACCTCAGAGTTATTCAAGGCAATGGTTTGCACTTTGCGAAAATCACTTTATTTACAACATTTATTTTATTCGTCGCAACCTAAACGGGTGAATGAACGAGTCGTCGGAAAAGTAGTGAATGTTGCAATAATTGGTGCACCTAATTCTGGAAAGAGTACTTTAATTAACAATATTGTAGAGAGGAAGGTTAGTTTTTATTTTGAGAATTATTAAAAAAAAAAATACAGGTACTTGTACAGAAAAACAACAAGTTACCTAAAATGTCAAGTTTCTCCAACTAACATTGAGCTTTATGTCTTGAAAGTAAAATTTACAATCTTTTGTAAAATAATTTTATAGTTTGTGGTACTGCAATGAGGGTCTATAGACACAATCAAGGAACTTTCCAAATTCTGTATCACAGTAGACTAAAATCTATTCAATTATGAAACAGTAAAACTTCATTTGAGTTCACCTGGGTAATTATAGTAAATTTAATTTGCAATGCTTATCATCTTTTGCATAGTAAGTTCTAATTTAGTTTCTAGAAGTTATTTATTAAATCTAAAGTTTACTAATAATATAGTTGAAATATTTACATTGGTGAATTTAAAGATATATTTTGCAGATATGTGCAGCTTCCAACAAAGTTCATACTACTACAAAAATGATACGAGCAATGTATTTTCAAAATGACACGCAGATTATATTTCTGGATACACCTGGAGTTGTCTCGACAAAAGAGCAGAAAAAGTAAGTTTACACTGTATTACAAATATGTGTACTTACAAGTGACACCCTGAAAACCAGTGTTACATATTATCACTCAACCAAGGAGGTTGCCAAGATAGAAATCCTAAAGGTAGCAATTATTTTTTTAAGTCCTATATTATTTTCAGATACAAATTACCAGAATCGATGATTGCTGCATGTTATAAAAGTTTGAGATGTGCAAATGTTGTAGGAGTTGTTCATGATGTCTCAAATTCATACACTAAAGATGTGCTGCACACAGATGTAGTCAGCATGCTGAAAATGGTTGAGGAGATACCTAGTTTTCTTATAATTAACAAGGTTAATATAAATAATATATAAATTGATTATCTGAATTTATTGATATACTGATTTTCTTCTGGTGATATGATATTTTTTCTGTTGTTTTTAATTCAGGTGATATGTGCACAAAAGTTTAATTATGTAAAAATAATACTGTATTATTCTGATGTGAACTATATTTTCCCTGTACAGATTGACAAGTTAAAATCTAAAAAGCAATTGCTAACTATTATAAAAAATTTAACAAATGGTCTGATTGCTGGCAAATCAATACCAGGGACTAACAAGAAAAGAGAAAAACCACAGCTAGAATTGGGTTATAGTAAATTTTCTGATGTGTTTTTGGTGTCGTCTCTAAATGGTGATGGTGTAAGTGATGTAAAGGTAAGTTTTTTAATTATTAAGATCATTTTGTTCAATTGACAATATGTGTCCATACTCAAAAGAGAAGCACAGGTCAAATCACCCAAAAGTAAAATTTCTAAATCCCATTTTCAGTTTTATCTTGCTTCATTTCATCATCATCAGCCTATTAATGTCCCCACTGCTGGGGCACAGGGCTTCCCTATGGATGGAATAGGGAGATTGGGCCATGACCCACCACGCGGGCCCAGTGCGGATTGGTGGGTGCTAATGACTGCAAATTCAGCCGGGACCAACGGCTTAACGTGCCTTCCGAAGCACGGAGGAGCTCGAGATAGTAAACTTTTGGTCACCCATCCAATGACCGACCACTGCGAAAGTTGCTTAACTTCAACGATCGTAGCCGAACGCGCTTACCACTTGCGCCATCGAGCTCCAGCCTTGCTTCATTTACGAATCATAAATAAAATATTTATTTATTTCAGAAAATATTAAATATTGTAGTCATAATAGATATATATATTATATATTATCTAGATATATAATATTAAAAATATTGTTTCAGGAATACTTGCTAAGCAATGCTAAACCTGCTGCCTTCCACTATAAGCCTGATGAATGGACGGATCAAACTCCAGAATTATTAGTAACGGAAGCAGTTAGAGCAAAATTTTTAGATTTTCTCTCCCAAGAACTTCCTTATCATATAAAAATTGAGCTAGAATATTATGAGGAACGTGAGGACAAAATCATATGTTCTCTGATAGCAGAATGCCCCACAGAAAGATTAGTCAAATTAATAAGAGGGGCTGGTGGTGGTCGATTACAAATGATCAGTAATCATGTTAGAAATGATCTAATGGACCTTTTTAAGAAACTGGTTGTCGTAAACATTGATTTAATAGCCAAAGAAAAGAATACTGAATAAAAAGTTTGAAGTATTATTGTTTTTAAATTTTACACATTGCAAACTTTTTTGTTCAAATTAGCAACAGCACACAAGTTCACGCGCATGTATGCACTATGCAAGCAAACCCACACACATGCACGCACGCACGCACACACGCACGCACACACACACGCACATACGCACGCACGCACACACGCATGCACTGTTTTAATCACAAAATTCGGATATTAATTCATACTTTTTTATATTTTACTATATCAACTTGTTCTACCAGGTGAATTATTACATTCCGTAGTCCACCTGTGTTATGTGTATAAACAAACTATTTATTCAATTACTATTTGTACAAGGACAGGAAAAAGCTAAAACATAGCGATACCTATACTCTGAGAAAATAGCACTGGTTTTCAATTTTGCCTGGAAAGCACGTAGCCAAGTAAAAGAAATTGAAGTAATTAAAACAAATAGATTATTTTATAATGATTATTTTATTTATATATTTGTAAACTAGTAGCCCGCCCTCGCTTCGCTTCGGTGTAGAGCTGTAGTGTAGGTAGACTATTGTTTTTGTTCTCAGGCTTATATTATACACAATGAATCCCTTATAATTATATTGTCACAAACGCTCTCGAAACGTAACCGCGAAAGTGCTAGAGATCGAATTTGCCAAATCACCGCGGGTCGCGATAGAGGTCGAGTAAGGCGGCTCATTCTAAAATGAGCCTTATGCAGTGCGGCGTCAGGGAGAAAATGCAACGACATCTGCACTTGTTCACAAGTTATGCGCGTTACCTGCATAGGTATAAGTAGGTACTTCGTACTCGCGGGTGCTAGCTAATTCTCAATTTAACAGGTACTTTCTAGAATGCGTCGATCGGCGTATATAAGCGCGATTGGTGCCACGCAGAGATAGCCTTCCAATTCAATTCCACTTCCACCCCAAAACACTAACTCTCCTTCTTCCACAGCTTCCGGCCGCAGCCACGCAGCCTGTTCTCGCCGCCACCCCCTTCCGATCCACCCATACATCCCCCGTCCTCCCCAACCCATTAAACCCAACAATCACTCCTCACCCCTGCTTGCATAAGTCACGGCCTGCTCGCTGGCGCTAGCTGGGCCTCCCCCCAGGGGGTCTCACCCGGCATGGCAGACCGCGCTGAGGGCCGCGCCGCAAGCCTCCTGGCGAGAACAGGTAGAAGAGGATGAGGAGAGACGACCAATCGTCTTAGTTGGCCGCTGTCCAGCGGCGCCCAACCCCGCGGGGGCGCACCCCCGCGAGATGCAGCCCGGGGAAGGAAGCTAGCTTCGAACCCGAACCTGTGGAAGACACAGAAGACAGTGGAGGTTCAACAGCGGAGCGAATCCAAAGGCGATCAAAGTGCAACAAAAGTGTTCAAGTGAGATTGTTTAGAGACTGGTATAGTGAAGTGAAATACAGTGTTTAGTGAGTGTTTTGTATTTAACATTGTGTGTTAATTGTGTGAACTGTGTGGTGAATAAAGAGCTCCCAAGCGTGAACTGGCATATAATTTCGAACCCCATCCCGACACGTAACAATATTTAGATAGTTATAAACCTTCCATGAACATTTATATATCTGATAGTGAACATTTTGTTTAGTACTTTAGGACCCGTTGTACCGAATGCACCTTTTTTTTGGTTCTCTCTTTAAATCTCAGGAACTAATGGATAGTTTAAACAGAGACGTGACGCGACGACACTCGAAGAGGCCAATGATTTCGCGCTGCGCCGCGCGCAGCCGCGAGACGTATAGCTACGTCGCGATGCGCCTCGTATAATCGTAGCAGCACGACGCGACGCCTTGCTGCACAGCGGAACGTGTCTACTCGCTGCGGGCGACCGCCCCGCTCGCGTCCACCCGCAATGTAGTATAGTAGACAAGTCGCCACAGCGGCCTCAGGCTGCGCCTCGAGACGCAACACCGCTCTTGCACGCCGCGCGCACCGGCGATGCGCCGCTGCGTCGCGATACGTCGCGCTACGCCCCCAGGCATCTAACGCCGCAGTGCTGCGTCGTGCAACGTATTCTGAATTCTCACAAGGAAATGTGTATCTTTTCGTGTAGTAAATAAAGTATATTTTGAGTCGCTCTATTCAAAATGTGCGCGCATCGTCACGCCTAGTTGCGTCTCGGTGTGAACTGATGCTAAGGCTATATGAAATCACGCAGCGACCAGTAGGAGTAAATCATAAATATTCCATTTGTGAGCTTCCGCTGCGTGCGCTGCGTAAATGATTAATGTTACACAAAAATCAAGTATGGCGGAATTATTATTATTATTAAAATATTCCCTTTTAAAAGTTCTATAAATGTTCCGGACAGCATATGCCCATCTTTTAAGTTTGGCTCGCTATAACCTTATCCTCAAATTAACGCGGGTGAAACCGCTTTAATCGTACATTTTTTTTATGCCTAAACTAGACTTGCAACGAATAGTATATTCGGCAGTATACCGAATATTCGGCGAGGCCCCTGACCGAATAGCCGAATATTAGGCAAAAGTATTCAGCTGGATTTTAGCGCCAAAAACTTGTACAGACGTGATTGTTTCGCGCTCCCGCTGTTGTTCTGATCTTTTCTTAAATATTAGTAATATATCACGTCATGACAACCCGTATACATGGTGGCAACCAAGGAAATTTGAATTTCCGTGTTTGATTAAGATTGCAGCAAAATATTTGTCGGCGCCAGGAAGTAGTGTTTATTCAGAGCGCCTTTTCTCTGAAGCTGGGATGGTCTACGAGAAAAAAAGAAGTAAACTACCTACTTCCTAAAAATGCAAAAAAGTTAGTCTTTCTGCACCATAACCTTCCCTTTCTAAATTTTGATTATTAAAATACAGAAAATGATTAAATTATGTACCTGTTTTATGTACCAATGACTACTTAATAAATGATTATAAGAGAAATGAGAACCTTACCCTTCTAAATTTTGATTACCACAATAATTCAAATACATAGAATCCTCCATTTCTCTAATTCAAGAAGATGATATTATGTACCTGTGTACCAATGACTACTTAAATGATTATATATAACAGAAATGAAAGTATGAATAAAATGAAGAGATGGCGCTGTAGTCACCTGAATCGCGCTTTGGTTCCGTTGTTCCAGATTAATAAATACTTTTGATAGGCCTTCACAATGCAGTCGTTAGCACCCACTAAATAGAGATTCTATTTCTATTTTGTTGGTAGATTTTCTTAATGTGCAGTAAACACTAAAGTAACAGCATGAAGTTGGTCGCTAAAGACCAACTTCATGCTGGTAATTTTTTTTGTTACAGTGATGCGCGCGCATCTTAAAATTTCACTGTCATCATTTTTTCATAACGCGCCTAAAGAAGTATAACTTCAATAAAAGTAGCCGAATAGGCCGAATACCGAATAGTAACCGAATATTCGTTGCAAGTCTAGCCTAAACAGTAGGACACGGCATTCCTAAACTTTTCTGTTTTATATATTTCATAATTGTTATATCATTTACATTTGTAATGGAAAGTGACTTCATGAGTTATCTCATATTGAAGTCATTTTTCAATTTGACGACTCTCTATACAATACAGGGAGAAAAAAACAGCCCTTGCTGAGTTTTTTGTCGGTTCTTCTCAGTACAAGGTCTCCCGCCGTAGATTTGCGAACCGATGGCGTAGCTTTTCGACATTCACAAGCGCTTGTAACAGCCTAGACTGAATAAAAGATATTGAATTTTGAATTGTTTTGAAGTTATACTTCTTTAGGCGCGTTATGAAAAAATGATGAGAGTGAAATTTTAAGATGCGCGCGCATCACTGTAACACAAAATTTATATATTTATACTTTTGTGTTTACCGCACATTAAGAAAATCTACCAACAAAATAGAAATAGAATCTCTATTTAGTGGGTGCTAACGACTGCATTGTGAAGGCCTATCAAAAGTATTTATTAATCTGGAACAACGGAACCAAAGCGCGATTCAGGAGACTACAGCGCCATCTCTTGACCATTGGTGTAGTAGTACCAAAAACCACATCTTTATTTTTTCTAATAAAGTAACAGTTATAGGTATTCATATTTATAATATTTATCCACATGTTTCTAGTTTGTATATTCGGAATACGTGTTTGAGTTTCATACAAGTGCAAATCACATATGTTCTAATAAATTATATTCAGTAGCGATTTTAATTGAATATTATGATTATTTATTTATTTTTTCAAATTAAAACTGAACTTTATTGACTGTGTCCTTTTCCAGACTTTTTATTAATTTATTGTAATTAATTATTTGCATGCAATTAAAAACTAATTTTAAACGATGCCAAAGAAGGATAACTTCTCACGCGCCTACATAAGTACACGAACCCATTTTTTTTTAATTGAACAGAAGATCAGCAGCGGTAGGTACGCAGAACTAAGTTCACAGTCAATTTTCAAATTTTATTTTACTTACGCATGCGTACATAGCGGTGGGCATTTAAACGAAAAGCGCTTAAATAAGCGCGCTTAAAATATTAAGCTTGTAAGCACGCTTTTAAGTATAAGCTTTATAAGCTTATCACTTAAAAAGTGTGAGTAAGCTTTTCACTTAAAAAAGTGCAAGTATATTTTTTACTTAAAAAGTGCAAATCCCGCCATCTATGTCTTTGCCAGGAAACTACATACTTCGATCCTTCTAGTCCACTACAGTATCGTAAAATGGGTACGCGGAATTCCTTGGTACTAAATATTTCACAATATCACAGACATAGAACGCGCGACTACAGCGCCGCGTCGGCGTGCCATCTTTCGTGAGCCGGTTAATACAGAATGCGAATTATTATAATGCGACGTAAAAAAATGCACTTTTTTAAAATTTGGTCGGATAACCAACGCTTTTTTCGTTAAAAGCGTTTAATTATACGAAGTCGAAAAGCAGTACGCTTGTCACTGTGACGGGGTAAGAGCGCGTGGGTGTTGTACGGTGTGTTTGCATGCTTGCTTGACGTGTTAATGCGTTTCGTGTATTGGTTTAATGCGCATATAAAATAGTTAAAAGTATGTATATAAA